CGCGCCCCTGGTTCTCTTTATTATATAGTTACTTATATACTCCGATGGATTCTGTGTGTATGGGTCTGTATCTATGTGTGCAGAGCGTATATAGAGACAGACTGTTGCTGCCGGCTTCTCGCTGATGCTGAGCTTTTTCGAGTGATTTTATCCTAAAAAGGGACTCAGATTATTTGATGCTTTTTGACTGTAACATTCGAATAATTAGTGGTCAAGAAATAATTGTAGTTTGGACTGGTAAGACTCAATTTCCCTATGACGTGGTCTTAGAGATGATTCATATGCGAATCATTTATTTTCTTAAAAAAGATTTTGGAAGTTTGAACTCTCTTAACTTATATGGGAGGTACAAAAATCGAATATTTAAATTATAAAATTACATAAATTACCTCTGACGTCTGAAAATCGATGTATCATACGTCCCAAAAATGTACCCTGAACTACGCTGTTTGACACCTCGGATCATCCCTTCACCGCTACGATCCCCTCTGGCACATCCCCTTCATTCTTGAGCTGAAAACCAAAATTACATTTCACTCTCTGCCAGGACCCAGATGAATGAACAAACTTTTGCTCAAAGCTTCCCCCCCAAAGTAAGCTTTCGCCCGAACTCACTCAAAAAGCGTTTTTATGTGCGAAGCGGTATGCTGGAGGAAAGTTTTTGGTATCTGGCTTTTACCTACAAAACACCAAGGTGAGAGAAAACTCTGCCAGCAGAGATAACAGCAGCAGCAGAGCCATCAGAAGTAGCAGCAACAGCAGCAGAGGTATAATAAAAATCCATTTTTATAGTCCCGACTGAGCCTGTGTACCCGGCGACTGTTGCCTGTGGGACGTTCCACAGAAACAACCCCACAGATAGGGAGAACAAAAAAAAAAAACATACACAGATTTTGTTTAATGGGAAGAGGGTGATATTGGTGGTGTTGTTGTTGTTGTTGTTGTTATTGTTGCTGCTACCTCCTGAACGGTGGTGATGGCCGAGGTGGTGGTGGTTCCCAAAAATGTATGAAATTGAACTGCCTGCCAACGTCAAAACGAACTTCAAGCTCTGCTGATGCCACGGTCGCTGCCACAGCCTCAGTGGCTGCAGAATTTCGCTATTGCTGCCTCTGCCACAACCGCTGCCACTCTTCTTCTGCTCAGGTTGTTGTTGTGGAGTGCCTCCGAATGAGCGCGTGGAATGTTGCCATATGCCGCCATATGCATGTACATCTACTCTCCACTTCTAGAGTCTATATAGACGTGGCACACTGTGTGTGTTGTTTGCGTACTACGTTTGGTACAGTCGCATGGAAGAAGAGTCTGCGACTGCGACTGTGGCAGCGACAGAGGCAGCAACAGTGGCGCTGAAACGGACGCTGCTGCGACGCGGACAGCAACAATAATGTCCGTCCGATCAGTTCAGACGAACAGACTTTTGACTGTGCTGCGGGGTAGCCACTTTTTTGTGCCTCACATTGTTGCTGTTGCTGTTGATGTTGCTCTTCTTTGATTGCCACAAAACAGGGTGCCCTTAAAGATGGCAAATAATTTGGATTTAATCTTTTCAGCATCAACGGAATGAATTCAACTCTGATTTTTCTGCTCTTTAAACAACAGCAATCCAGATGATAACCAAACCGATTGCAACACCCTGTGCCAAGCCGTATTTAAGTTGAACAAGTGTGTAAGCACATAAACATAGAAATGGAATTAAGTTTGCATAGCAAAAGAAAATAAACTGCTAAAATTATAATAACACGATGGAGGAGCTCCAGCGGCGGGGACTGGGTTTAAAAATTGAAACTAGTGTAAAGCGAGCAACGCCACAACATACAAAAAAGAGACCAAATTGCACACACTTGCGCAACACACGGACAGTGAGACACAGAAACAGTGACAGGGGGCCAGGCGAGAAGGCTGAAAGAAATAAAAGGGGGAAAAAAAGAAGAGTGGAACTTGGTATGTAATTTATAATATCCTTTGTCCTCTGCCGGCTTTTGTACTCTGTGAAAAGTGAAAATGTATCTCTTTGTGTGCGCGAGTGTGTATCACACATTCATACGAGTATGTGTGATAGCTGTGTGTGTGTTAAATACAGTCTCTTTGGCAGTTCCCACTGCCAGAGTCACAGATATAGACACAACTTGCTTTGGTCCAAAACAGAACACAGATAGAGCTACAAATTCGTTGCTCTATACAGAGACACACAGACGCAAATATAGCTACATATTTGTTGGATCACAAACGCAGATACACATTCTGATTCACAGACACAGTCACAGATAGAGATGCGGTAGTGTCCGTCGCATTACTTTTAGCGTGGCTTTTTCGCCGTTTCGCTGTTTGTGCCGGGCAAATAGTTAAAACTAAAATAAATTTAGTTGTAGTGAGCGACACACACACGTGCACACCACACAGATGCACACACAGATACAGACGTAGTAGAGAGGCAGACAAAAGATAGCAGCGACGCCATCTTTGCTGTGCTCTCACGCTGATAAGTATGCTACGCTTGTTTGGATGCTCCTGGGCCCTCCGACTTCCACACCCACACCCACACCCACTCATGCTACCAGCTTCTATTTCGAATGCTGCTGCACGAAATCTCATTATATTTGTTTTATTTTATTTGGTGCCACGTCTTCGTCGTTTGCAGCAGCTTCTTTACTTCTTTGCTTCTTTGCTACTTTCTGTTCTCCTTAGCTTTTGGCTTTTATGTCTATTTCCTATGCTTTTTGTGTGGAGTGGTGGGTGGGCGGAAAAGGTACGAGTACTTTTGTGTGCACGTAACTAACTTCTGACCATCCCCAGTGCTTGCAGGTCCTTGGCAATGTCCCTGGCTCACATTGTCATCTACTTACTTACTACTTAATGCGTGCTTAGTTATTGTTTTAGTGTGGTCTTTTGTCTCAAAATTATTAACAATGGACGTTGCCTGACAACCGCCTGCCTTCCGCCATCCCGCCTTGACGCATCCACTGTTGGGTCGGGTTGACTCGAGTTGAGCTGGCTTTCGATGGGTCTGGCTCTGGACTGGTTCCACTCAGGGCTTCCAGGAGAAAGACCCACGGTAATAGCATTTAATGCACCTGCACACAGATACCACCTCGCAGATACACACACACACACACACACACACACACACTTGCAGTTAAGTTGCTTTGTTCCTCGCTCTGGCATTGTCTGCCACACGCACACACTTGAGAGACACCATCAGCATCAACATCATCATCATCATCATCATCATCGTCGTGGTGGTGGTGGCCATCGTTATCATGATTGTAAGCGGCTTTATAAATGCTTCATTTTACGTGTGTTTGTTCATTATTTATTTACCTTTAGTAGCGCTTAATTTTCACTCACTGCCATCGCGCTCCCTACCTCTGCACATCTCTTTCCCTTCTTTGGTTTCTGTTCCTGTGTCATTGTGCGCCTTTAGTTAAATTGACAAATGTTAAGCTAATGATCTAATTTTATATTTATATCCCGGCTATTTCCATTATAATAATGGTGCATTAAAATATTGCATTTTACATTGAAACTTTCAATATTTAATTCCCGTTTTATGCTCTTGAATGTTGAATGGGAAATTGTTGGGAAATGTAATGTATGTTTAAAGCCTAATCGCATCATTACACAGCATAGATAAATATTCAGGTAAAATATAATAGTTAAGCAACAATGAATTCAACGTCAAAATCAATAAGTTCCATAGCTCATATAAAGGAGGCCAAAATTCAGGTATGGCCATGAAATACCAGCTGGTGGGCGGCAAATACCAGGTGATTAAACGAATTGGTGGAGGTACCTTCGGGGATATTTACGGTGGCATTTGCGTGACGGATAACACAGATGTTGCCATCAAGATTGAATCACACGAATCAAAATGCCCACAGCTGATGAATGAAGCCAATGTGTACCGGATGTTGAGCAACAGTCCTGGGTTTCCTACATTTCTTTACTATGGCTGTGAGGAGAAGTTTAAGGCCTTGGTCATAGAGCTCTTGGGACCATCACTGTACGATCTTTTTATCGAATGTAACCATAGGTTTTCGCTAAAGACCATCCTAATGCTCGCCGATCAGCAGATGGCACGGCTGGAGGCTATCCACACCCTTGGATTCGTTCATCGCGACATCAAGCCTGCAAACTTTCTAATGGGCCTGGGCGACAAATCCAAAAAAGTGTTTCTGATCGACTTTGGAATGTCACGCCAATTCAAGAACCCTAAAACTCAGAAACATATTCGTTTTCGCAGGGTGGACTCTGTTTTCGGGACCTTGCGCTATTCATCGCTCCGTGCCCAGAAGGGCGAAGAACAGTCGCGTCGCGATGATCTTGAATCCCTCATGTACTGCATGATATACTTTTATAAGGGAAAACTGCCCTGGATCGGCCTCACAGCAGCCAACGAACATCAAAAGATGGAGCTGATCATGGAAAAGAAGAAAAGTTCAAAGATCGACGATCTGTGCGATGCGTTTCCACCCATGATCGGTCTGCTCATGAAATACATTCGAAACCTGCGCTTTGAGGAAGACCCCGACTATGTGTATATGCGTCAAATGCTTCGCATCGATTTTCTCGTTCTGAACCATGTATATGACTTAAAATTCGATTGGACTCAGCTGAGGGAGCAGCGAAAGGATAGCTCGCCAGGCAAGGAACCAATAGAACACAAATCGACTAGCTCTCTTTATTATACCGTATCTGAAAATACAGTTTTTTAATGTTATTCATAATGTTCTGGGATATTTTCAAGAACTTTAATGGAATTCCATATAATAAATTAAAATAAAAATTGAAAATTATGTGTATTAATATCCCAAAAATTTAGTTTGGTGTCAAGAACAGATATACCTCATAGGAAAATATACCATCTGTGCGTTACGCACATCACTTCGATCACTAAACTAAAAGATAACTAAACTCTTCGAAAATCGTCAACCACACCCATGTGATAAACGTCCAAATTAGAGTAGTTTCGCCTTAACAAAAAACTCAAAATTATTTTTAAACAAAAAAAAAATCAGAGCTCAGAGTCTGTCGCCAGAGTTAGCTGTGGCTACAGAAAAACAAATTCAGACAAAATCCCGGCAAAGTTAAAGGCCACAGCAATGATGCAGAACAATAGTCCTACTGAACGCACACCTAAGGCAACACTGCCCATGGATAAGCAGTTGGTGGGCGGCAAGTACCGGGTGGGCAAGCGCATTGGCTCGGGATCCTTTGGCGATATCTATCTGGGCGTTTGCTTGAAGGACGCTTCCGAGGTAGCCATCAAGGTTGAACGAAACGAGGCCAAGTATCCACAGCTGGCGTACGAGGCCAAGGTATACCAGAAGTTGGAGAGATGTTCAGGGTTTCCCACACTCAAGCACTACGGCAGCGAGGAGCACTACAAGGCCATGGTGATCGAGCTCCTTGGACCATCTCTGGAGGAGCTATTTTCTATATGCAAGCGTCGCTTCTCAATGAAGACGGTTCTGATGCTCACCGATCAGCTGCTGTGTCGCCTGGAGAGTCTCCACAACGTTGGATTCATCCATCGCGACATCAAACCAGATAACTTCCTGATGGGCATGGGCAAGCAGGCCCACAAGCTTTTTCTCATTGATTTTGGTTTGTCCAAGCGATATGTGGATGCCGAGACCCGTCTGCATATTCCCATTCGCACGGATCGCAGTTTGACAGGAACCGTGCGCTATGCTTCCATCAATGCCCAAAAGGGCATTGAGCAGTCGCGTCGCGATGATCTGGAATCGATGTGCTACTGCCTGATGTACTTCAACCTGGGAAGGCTGCCCTGGCAGGGCATCACTGCCGACAGCAAGGCGCAGAAGTACGAAAAGATCCTGGAGAAGAAGTGCAGCACAAAGATCGAGCATCTCTGCAAGTCGTTTCCATCCGAGTTTGCTGTGGTCATGAAATACGTTCGCTGCATGCGCTTCAACGAGGATCCCGACTACACCTACATGCGCAAACTGTTTGGTCTTTTATCGCTCAATCTCAACCTCAAATACGACAATATATTCGACTGGTCGCAGCTGAGAAAACAGAACCTGGAGCGTCAACGAGAGCGTGACCAGGAGCGAGCACGCGCGATCACCGAAGCACGTCTGTCTCTGCCGAAGAAGACCGAGGTTAGCTCTGTGCTTAAGTACAGTCGCTGTGTCGGCGATGTGTCGACAGCCAGCAAGAGAAAGTAGGACGACTACTTTCCAAAACACTTTCAAAATTAGTTCATTACACTATTGTTAATCACACACGAATGTTGGAAGAGATTTGCGGCTGGGCAGTTACATTTTGCTGACAATTTGGTGGACACTTGACTCAACAATGTTTTTTTCTTTAAATATTGAATTAAAGCTCATTGAAGAAAGCTTAAGCTCGACCATTTGTTGGTGTTGTTCTATGGGGAACGAAATACCACTCTAAGTTTTTCTATTAAAATTAAATTCTCTCTTGAGTTTTGCTGACAGAGAAATGGAGAGAGTGGAGAGGGAACGTAATAAACTGTCAAATTGTCATGTAAACGGGAGAGAGCTGCCAACCGAAAGTTTTCCACCTCGAAAGGAAGTTGGCAAAAGCAGGACAGAGTGCTGGGTTTATTTACGCTACTTATTTATTGAGTAGCGGACAGGATAGTGCAGTACAGCAGGCATGCCCAGGTTATGAGAAAACAAAATACATTTTATAGTAGACGCCCAACAAAAGTTCACTCTATACACTCGGAAACCTAGCAAAATGTAGTTCTGCCAACCGCAAAGAACATTTTATTAGTTTCTTTTGCACAGCTTCCATTTTTGTGGCAGCGAAAATAAGTGGAAAAGTTGCATTTTATTTTTTTGTACATAGTTTCGTTACAAAAGCTTGGCTTAAAGACGGGGTCGCAACATGGCACCTGCTGCCAAATTAAATTCCCAAAGGACCATAGAGAAAGAGAGAAAAACTACATGGCTATGACAGACTGGAAACTTCAATAATTTATGATGCAGCAGTAGAGGCTTCGGGTTAAGAGGAAGTGGAAGAAACAACACGACGGAATCATTTTGCCATTTGGAGTAATTTTTCTTTTCCCTCTCTGATTCTCTGTGTTGGTCTTCCTGTTGCAGAGGGAAAACTTTTCCCGGGAAACAGAAAACATAATTAAGTGTTGTCTTGAGTTGGGTGCATAGTTGACATGACAAACAGTTGATGAAAAACAGAAAGCGAAAAAGAAAAACGGCAAAAAATTTGCAAATTCCATTGGGGAAAATAGTTGAAAATCACTGCTGGGAGTCTGATCTCGCTAGAAATGTGGCTAATAAAGCGGCATGACAAGTGGCAAGTGAAAAACAAAATGCCAGAAAATTGTGAATTGGCCTGCCGCGATGTCTGGACGCTCAATTCCTTGGTTGCGACACCTTTCGCGGGCCCTGACAATGACAGCTGGTATGTCAGCATATGATAAATTGTTTAGCTGACAGCTGACTGAATGGTATGGAAATTTCGATGGAAACACCTTCCTCTCGCCTCACTGCAGCCTGGTGACTCACATCAAACACCTGTGAACTGAATGAGCGAGTGGGTACAGTGCCATTCAGTAATGTAATTGCACATTTCGTTGTGTGAATGCATGCAAAAGGGAGGTGTTTATTTAATTTGCCGAGTGAATGGTGTCTACGTGTATGCCATTTGCTTATTCAAAGTTTGTCCAATTCGATGTGACAATTTCCAGCATTTTCCTTTCACCCTCAAATGGGAAAAAGTTAGCCATGACTAAAATAGGTGAATGAAAGCTGCAGAATACAAATGGAAATGGACTCAAATGTAAACTTTAGAAACGGAGTGTGAAATGTGAGGTGAATGCAATGACACTGAAGAAGCAGACTGAAATTTATTTTAACCTTTTCCATGCCCCCACACACAAGAAAAATACAGCAATAGGAAAATGTACAGTTGAAATGTGACAGCCACATAGACAGTTTGTTCACGAAATATTTCCCATACCACGAGTCGATATACATATTTTTAATAAACATAAAACGGATATAATCCACAGGGGATTTATGAAGGAAAAAATCCCTTTTGAACTGTTGGTTTCGTGTCATTGAAAAATGCTTTTAAAATAAGTAAAAATCCATTTTAATGCACATCTGGATTATATTCGCAGCTACCGTCCATTAGGCATCAGTTCTTCTACTATCGTTGTATTGTTTTGCCGGTCAACCCCGCCGACTCAATTCTCTCGAAAGTGTTGAGCTGAAAAATTGCAAAACTAATCGATTCGACAACTTGCGGTTGAATCTACCCACCTACCTCGAACCGCATTCGAATCTGTTCGGACCATTCACATCAACAGTGAACTAGTAGCTTAAGTGAAGTGGATGGGGAAAAAGTTGTTGTGCAAGCTCTGATTTTGCCAGGGTCTATTTTTCAACCTGAAAAACGTGAAATGCAATGAGATAATACAAAACCGAAAGCACCACAGCGCAGAGTACCAGCAGCTCTTTACTTCCAGCGGTAGTCTCAAAGTTTTCACTCAAATAATTGCTTTTACCTTGCACTAATAGATGGGGATTTACGGAGGCAGCAAACCATTGCACATCCCCTTTTCATTTCGACCCAAAAAAAGCTGCACAATAATCCTTTTGCCAGGATAAGTCGAAACCCAACCAAAAAACCCTAAGAAGTAGTGCGAATTCAGTTGGTTTTTTTCTTTACACCCACAATAGTAGCTGTTCTCCTTCTTGTTTCATTTTCAGTTTCACATGCATCCTGAATTCTTTCTCAAGTGCTTTTCCGAGAAGCAGAAAGTAATTATGTGTAATGTGGTGTATGCGCAATGTTCAATGCCATTTTCCGAAAAGACATGGCAAAGACATGAAAATTAATTAGTTTACAAACAGCAGCGATTCCCTTTGTCCTGGTCTCTCCTTTTGTGAGTGTGTGCGGAGCGTTACTGGAATCGATTTTTGAGCACAGGTGCAGGGGCGTACACCTTAAGCAGATTTCACTGTCTGTTGGTCGAAAAGTGTACGAAATTAAAATGAAAAGCCCATCAAAGTAGTCGTAAGCAGGAAGGGGAGGACTCATGCTGTCTAAACAAAAGGCAAAGCTGTGTGGGATAGGCACACGGGAATCGAATGTCATTAAAAGGCGATGGAAAGGGCTTCGAGCCGAGACCAGATCCCATCTGACTGACGGACTCACTGACTAACACGATGGGGGGGCTCGAAGCATCATGTTGAGAGCTCATTAAAACGAATACGAATTTAATGGTACTTAAAGCGGAAATTGCCTGGCAAGTTTCCGCCATGGTAAGCACACAACAGTAGCAGCAGCAACAGCATCACTCATAGACACTCAGATTGAGAGAGAAAGTGGGAGAAAGGTGGAGAATACAAGAGAGAGAACTAACTGGAGAAGCCAAGCAGGCGGCACCCAAGTCAAGCCAGTAGCCAACTTAGATCGAAGTGCCTGGACTAAAGCGCAGGCACAACAAAGCTTTTACGAGCTGAAAAACTATTAGTGGCAGCAACAGCAAAAACTAGACCCACAATAGAGGCAACACTCTGGCAACAAATCCACACAACAAACACACCCACCTAGCACAGGACAAACTAGGACCCCGCTCACCTATGAGTGGGCTGTTTTCCTTTTTCCTTTTTCCTTATCCTTTTATTTTTTCTTTTTTTTATTCTGTCAGGTTTTCCTTTTTCTATGCAACGCTTTTTGTGTACTAAATGAAGCCATCGTACACACGAACAAAGCCGGGTAACTGCAGAGAGTATGAACAACGAAAACAACAACAGCAAAAATGCAAAGAGAAGCCTAAGTAAACAGATATTTATGATGATACTAGGATGCTCTTAAAAGTCTGAATTTCCATGCAAATACAAACAAGTTTTTCAAATTTGATTAAGAACTGTGCTGCTCAATACCATAATTAATTTCTTCACTTATTCTTTGTGTTTTGTAAATGCATTGAGGTATGTTTTTTTGTGTTACTTAGAGATTTAGTTGGTCAATCTAATAAGAGTAAATAAGTGTATAAATTCGCTGAGGAGTCCAACTTTTATGCGCATCACTTTCAGCTTGGAGTTTATAGTTGGCTTAAACTTTTTAATACATTTTTTTTGCCATGCTGCAACTGAAAGTTTACTTTTCCCGAAAGAGTATACCGATAACAATAAAAAAAGGGAAATTTTCCAACAATGCTGACCATGCCAAGCGGCAACAGTGTGAAAAACGGCGACGCCATTTTGAGACGCACAAAAGTATGGTTTAATTGAATGTTTGTTAGCTTGCCACACAGCATCCTCATCGCTGGTGCAGTAACGTCTGGCCCGATCTCCCTTCTCGCTACAAAAACATATGTATGTACAGGGCATATGCAAGCAACAAAATGGTTGAACATTCCACATACATACATATATAGTGGTACTTGTACTCGTACTCGTATGCATGTCAGTGACGTCCATAATGGCAAAACCATTCCATGTACTTTGAGTTTTCAATTTAAGCTTTTTGCCAGCTGAATTGCCGAAAGAGTAGGCGGAACAGAACGTAAAGGGAAAACATATGTGAGCCAGCAAAAGGAGACCATGTCCCTTTCGTTCTTTGGCTTTCATCTGCCAGCCATGTCGATAAGTTCACTGGGACTTTAGACTCTCGGATATCCAGTATTAAATTCATGTTTCTTGGGAACTGGAAACTGCAAATTGATGGTCGAGATTCCTAGTAAGCTGATGTAGCTTACATTTCGATAAATTATCAATGAAATATCAACGTTCGCTATATTGTTACACGGTAAGTAAAAGAACATTACGTGGCAACACGTAACACTCCAAAATGACGAGGTATCAAACACATACTTTCTTATTTCAACAATTTTTTGCGCATTACAGTTTAGGTTACCTGTCTCGTATCGAACCCAAGCGTAAAGAATTTTCTGCATCAGTCAGCCAAAAAGTTTCATCGAGATGCGAGACGGGGCGGGCTGCGACGCTTTTGTTTTGAGCTGTAGCATTTTGCTGTCTAGGCAACTTTGACTGCCAAATCAACGATATGAAATTTTCCATTTGCTATGAATTGTGTGCAGGTTTATGTGGAAGCCAGGCGAGATAGTCCTGATAACTTTTACCATCCATCTTCTGGCAGCAAAACACATTCATTTTTGCAAAAGATAAAATTCTTAACAGGAATTAGAGAAAAAATATTCTAGACTATTTATAATT